GTGCCCCTAACATTTCCAGCATGCCCATGAAGCTTGTTTTCATCCAGTGTTTCAGACATTTTTCTAAACTTCCCTTCCATTGGTATCAAGTTTTTTCATCCAGTGTTTCAGACATTTTTCATAAGCAAAGTAACCTAAGTTATGGTAGCAAGTTTTCCAAGTCCAACTAACCTGAATATTTTTTCAACATCTGTGCTATGTTAACAAGTCTTTTACACGTTAATTATCCATGGATCAATAGAACCGGCCATATATAACTAATCAATTACCCTCCAGAGAGGGCATGGGAAGTGTTAATTTAAAGGTTTTAGTATGATATTTTTTTAGTCTAAATCCTTTTAGATGTGGGATGCAACATACTTGTGTGCTCAGGAATGATTTTTCATGATAAGGCCTGATTGAAATAAATTATAATTCTGGGATTGGTTCTCATTATCTCTGATGATATGTGGTATGTCTGCTCATTAGTATAGGGTCATAAAATTTTAGAATATGGAGAAGTCATTCTCCAATTTACCTACAAATATTGTTCTCCAATTTAAGTAAAGGTATAAATAACATATCAACAACTTCTCCATAACAATCAATCAAAACCTCCACATACGATGATCATGCTTTCAACATTTTAAAACAAGAAATAAAAATGGCCTCCACACGGGCCGATGTACCAATAAGGTAATAAAGTTCAAGATACACCGCAAAATTGGTCACTTAAAGGCACGTGACCCCCCTAAGTATGAGTATAAAAAGCATTAAAATTGTGCAATATAAAAGAGGCATAGTATTTGACCTTTGTTGTAGACTGGAATCATAGAAATTCTGATTCTTCTACTCCTAATGAACTAGTGATAATCAATCCTATCAGAAAAAAATATTTCAAAAATGTAATGCCTAGTCTTTGAACATTGGCTTGCTAAAGATCATCTACTTGGTTTAAATGGGAGGGGTGGTTGTGTTTTTCTTCAGCATTTCTATGTGGTTTCCCCTTTCATTTATTATTTCAGCCTATCTTGTCTTTTAACACATTAATAGGCCATGTCTTACTGACGACCAATAATACATCAAGCTTGCATTCAAGCAAGGAAATACTCTAGTCCATATAATTCTATGAAAGAAAATTTTAAATCCTTTTCATGGTCATTGGCCAACTGCAAACATAATTAAAAGATAAGGGTTATAATGATAGAGGAAACATAATCAAATTAATAGAATCAGGGTTCTCATGATCTACATTGGCTTATGTTAGACTGTGACAACCTTAAATTTAATTAAGTCTTCCCTATGTTTAGGACCAGAATTACATGATTTTTGATTAAATTTCTTTCTACCTATTTCATGTGTTGCATTTCAATATTAGTACATCCCAAATTGCTTGGAATTTATTTAAATGCAACGGTTGTACACGGTTCGTTGGCAATTTATAATTCCTTAATTGTCTAGTATATAATTTTTTGATCTAGTATTTAATTTATAGTCATGAGTTTCATTTAATTTTTCTATTTTACTCATGGGAAGAATTTAGTTGTTAACAAATAATAATAAAAAATAAATAAATAAATAAAATGGGTAGGGCCATTGAGTGATTACTTTTGGAAATGAGGGAGTATTGAGATATTAATAGAATGTAGGGGATCCAAAACTAGGTGTCATTCATATGCAAAACTTGGAGACACGTTTAATTATTTAGCACTACACTTGTAACTAGTTCCCTCATAGTTGTTGCATGCCAAAAAAAAAAAAAAAAAACCTTCCAGCCGTGGGTTGTTCGACAAAGAGAAAGAAGAACAGAAAGTGAAGAAGAAGAAGAAGGGTTCGGACTAAGGCTGAAAATGTAGGCATTTTACCCACACACCATCTAATCTCACCACCTCCAGTTGTTACCTTCAATTGGGTAGGGATTCTTTTTAAGTCTTGCAGCCTTGAGAGTTATTTTTTAAAAAAGTTCTGTTTCCCAATTTAATGTTCCATGAAATTATAGTTTTTCTTGTTACAAGTACATGATTTTCTTGTAGTCAAATGCTTGATTTTAGCTAAGATATTATACATATGCTTGGTCATGATCCGAGTTTTGGTTACATACAAGTATTGCTTATAATTTTATTTCAGAACTCTACACGAGTAAATATTTTTCAATCAGACTAATGTATATTATCAATTTTACGCCAAAATAATTCTGCTTAGATTCTGGAATTTTGTAATTGAGTTGTCTTAAATTGTTTGGGTTGAATTATTCTATTACTTAACTTTGGGACTAGGAGGGTGATGTCCCGGGCGAAAGGAGTGAGCAATTGGGTATGAGCTACCCGTTGGTGAAAGACCATAAACCCACAGCGGTAGACCCTAGATGGGTATTCGGAGTTAAATCCCTACTAGTCGAAGGGGAAGAGATAGAGAGATAGTTGGCATCACTCTAATTGAAGTAAAGTTGTTTGACAAAAGGCCCAAATGAAGACTAGCTCTTTACTAACTCACTTTAACTCTCAAATGGTTTTGGAACTGGGATTTTCTTTTAGCTACTGTTTTTTTTTTTTCAAATTCCATCATTTTATAATTGGTCTTGGTAGAAACTTGGCCAACGAATTCTTATGTAAATCAAATAATGTACCTAAAACCTCATGGAGGCATTTGTTAAAGGCTTTCCTACTGGGCATTGTCTCACCCTTTTTATTTTTAGGTCTTGGTACTCAGGACGGCAATGCTAGACCCGAGCTTGAGTTCCCATAGATGGGATCCTTTTGTGGAGCATCTTGTGCTTGGTGTTTTTGTGTAAAATATTAGCCTGAAGTACTATTTTGTTCATGTTTGATGCCTTATGAAACCATGTTAAGGTCGTGGTTGCTGTGCTAGAGTGAAGATGACAACATGCTCTCTGCTATGTGTTCTTTAGGACTGGGTACTGTATCTAGATGTTTTGTGTATAGCCTGCTAATGGTAGCATATGTACTTAGTGACTGGGCATAGCTGTGACTCTTTATTTTGGGTGTACAAATTTGGGCTGAAATTATCTTTCTACGGATGACTTTATGCAATGTATATATTCTTAGCCTCTTTAGATCTTTGTTATGCCTATGTATTATATAAGTTGTTCATGGGGGTAAGCTCTGAATTTTTTGTTAGAGGGTTTTATTTAAAGAAAAAAAAAAAAAAAAAAAAAAATCTGTTTTAAATTTCCTCTAGTACTTTCTTGGAAACGAATTTTAATCAGAGGTTGTAGTGCTTCAAACGCTGTGAACTTTTTACCATATGGTCCACTTTGTGTATAAAGTCTCTCATAAAATTTTTATAATTTTTCGATTGGTGGATATTTTTTTAAAAAATCTTATATCATCTACTGTTTGGTTTCTGGTCAAAGTTTGGAAACTGAATTTGAGAAAAGAACTTGATGGCCTTCCCGAAATCAATAAATTATGAAAATTTCCAGTTTTATTATTTCAAGTGTCTAGTTTCTAAAGGTTAAGGCCCCAAATTTTATTGGCTCTCTAATAGACTAAGCAGGCCAAAGTTTTGCACTTGGTTCCAATTCAGCACAAGCTATGAGAGCTTTCTTCCTTCCAAAAACCATTTTCCTTGGTGTTTTTCTAGCATCCAGGAGTGACTCGGTCACATTGTCATCTGAGTCTAGTTTCTAAAAAAATTTAGTTTCCTTCATTTCGATAATAATTGAATTTTCTATGTTTTTTTGAGTAACCGCTGCGCAGAATTTCTTAAGTTGAAAACTGTTGTTCCATTATTTTTGTTTTAACCTTATTATCACGCCCTATGGTTTTGGGGTGTGACATAGACCTTGAAACAAGATCTTCTATGGTTTGACTCAAATTAAGTACAATGTATAATAATACACCCTAGACAAAAGGTGACATATACTTGGTTTTTTTTTTTTTTTTGGACACCAAACGAAACACCATATCATTAAAGATGATGAAAGATTTAAGTCGAAATTAAGAACGCTCCACTCGAAATGAGAACATTAGACTACAAGAGCTTTTGGTTCAAACAAATGAGCTATACTTGGATCATTCAAGGGAAGCTCGGATGTAATAGAAAAAGTGCTCTGATTTGGGCATATAATAATTTACAACTTTTTTTAACAATCAAACACAATCTTTTGATAGTCACCCGTTATCATTTGAGTGGCGGGAATAAATGATCAATTAAATTAAAAACAACATGTGTAAAAATTTGCAATAAAAAAGTAAAAGTGTTTTTTAGGTAGGCCATGATTCATTCACTTGGTTATAGACAGATGATTCCAATAATCAAAATCAGGATTATTGACATTTTTTTTTTTCCTGAAGAAGCTATATCCACCCACCTTTTCCTAATCACTTTCAGTTCCATTTGTTGTTTCCATATTCTCCAGCCCTTCTAGCTAGACCCGATCTCTCTTGTACAGTGGGCATCTTCCATCTGGACTTCATCTCAAAGAGCTAGAGGTGTTTGCACCACTAATTGCTAATGTTGACTATCCTAATATTAATTGTATGAATTAATTATAAATAAAATATTCCACTTAGATCAATTACCTCACTATTATATTCAAATTAAGAGTTATTTCTATATATATAAAAACTTTTGTTCATCATTCTAGCCGAAATGTTAGGCAATTATCATATGTAGCGAGCTGCGCGCATTAGAGAAGGATTCACGTGTGACTTAGCTAGTCTTCTACCAGAATGTTGGACCTGAATATCACAACTCACATAATAGAAAGTGCTAAATCTGAAATCGACATTGTGAATTATGAAATGCTGTCCGTCTCGGAATTGTAATCGCAAAAAAACAATAATAATAAAAATTAAAAAAATTAAAAATAAAAAATTGAATTAACACTGATCTATAATTTCAATTTCAAGGAGTGTATTCCATATATCATAAATTGTAAAAGACAAGGGCTATAATCAATAGAGATTCAAAACCAAATTGAAAAACATCATATACACATGTAAGTATATATTTATAAACATTTCTTATAAACGAGAGAGATTGTGGGTGAAACATACCAGGAGAGGAGAGAGAGAGAGCTGGGTTTCCTCCTCCTTCAGATTCTCACTTATTGAACCAGCAAACACCAACAAGACTTTCCCTTCCTAGAGACAGAGAGACGATTGTGTATTTTAGACTTTCAGTTCAATATATACACACAAATACAAATACATGTGTGTGCGCGTGACTGTGTGTCAGTGTGTACAACTTATGTGTGAAAAATAAATTGGACATAGATAAATTAGGGTTGCTTACCGATCAGACAAAGGGCGAGAGAGGTTAGAGAAATTCAAACACAATCTTCAGATTTCGTCTCTGAGCCATGTGTTATCATTTAGGGCTTAGGGCTTGCCGCTTGCTTCGATCGATGGCCAACTGAAAAAGGCTCATGGAGAGAAACGTTAGGTTTGATTGAAAGAGGGAAAAGAAATATCGCTGGTGGCCGCTTCCCTCTTCTTCGTCGCTGCTCCCCTTTGATTTGTCTCTCCCCTCTTCTTCGTCGCTGCTCCCCTCTGATTTGTCTCTCCCCTCTTCTTCTGTGTTTGAGGTTAATGCGAAATGTGAATTAAGTTTTTCTATTTATTTATATATATATTTTTAAGTGTAATTTTAATGGTGTACAATTTGGAGGGAGGGTAAAAAAATTTGGTGGGAAGTCTTACTTATTCACGGGACAAAAAATATCCCTTAAATGTTATTAAATATCCACGAGAATTTTAAAAGGCCGTTAAAAAATAATAATAATAAAATAAAGTGAAATTTTAATTGTGCCCGCCAAATAAAGTGAAATTTTAATTGTACCCAATTTGGCGGGAGGGTAAAAAAAAAAGTGGTGGAAAGTCTTTTTACTTATTTACGGGACAAAAAATATGTCTTAAATATTATTAAATATCCACAAGGATTTTAAAATGCCGTTAAAAATAAAAAATAAAATAAAGTGCAATTTTAATTGTGTCCAATTTGGAGAGAGGGTAAAAAATTTGGTGGGAAGTCTTTTTATTTATTCACGGGACAAAAAATATCCCTTAAATGTTATTAAATATCCACAAGGATTTTAAAAGGCCGTTAAAAAAATAATAAAAAAAATAAAAAAATTAAATAAAATAGAGTGCAATTTTAATTGGGCGGGGTAAAAATTTACTTATTCACGGGACAAAAAATATCCCTTAAATGTTATTAAATATCCACGAGGACTCTAAAACGCCGTAAATGTAATTTTTATTGTGCCCCGTTCAGCGGGAGGTTAAAAAAAAGTTGGGGAAACTCTTTTTACTTATTCACGGGACAAAAAATGTCCCTTAAATGTTAAATTTTTAACACTTTATTAACAAGGGTTATTTCTCCCGTTAAAGTTGAACAAGAATGCCCTTAATATATTTAAATATCCACGAGGACTTTAAAACGCTGTAAAAAACATTTTCAACGAGAATCTTGCTAAATCCCCATAAAAACATGTCCCTTTATATATCAACCACTGGGATCTTCTAATAATCCCCGTCAAAAATAGTTTCCACGAGGCAAAATAAAGAAACCCCGTAAATAAGATGTCGTAAAAACCCACTTTTCTTGTAGTACCTTTACCATCCAGGCACACAACCACTTACTGCAAAATCCTAGTGGATAAAATAATCAGTAGGATCAACCATAGAAGTAGTAGCCCTACCTTATGCAGGAAAGGTCCAAATATTGATCCAAACAGTTATGATCAGCTTCATCTACATTAACAACAAAGAGAATGAAATCGTCCATGCAAGCGTCACCACCTACATGCACTATCACCGGTGACCAAACTAGTGAGCCTCAAAGATTAACCAACAATGTTCTTTATTGAAGAACCATTCTGGCTAGAGTTACAGATGAGACCCATTTCTGACATACTCTATTATATTGTATATGATTTGAGAGAGTATTATAAAAGTGATGTAGCCCTTTGGGCTCTTTGTGCTATGGATGTAGGCCCTAGTGGCTGAATCACGTAATATCTGTGTGTGGCATGTTCGTTTTTGGGAAGACTTATGGTACGGTAATCTGTTGTTGTCTCTTTCTTGTCCACGGCTATTTAGTATTGCTGAGAATAAGCATGCTTACGTAGTTGACTATTATCAACTTGATAGCAGTGGGATTACGTGGGATATGCATTTTAGGCGTTCTTTTTAGGATTGGGATATGGCAGAAGCATGCGTTTTTTTGGACTTGTTGTATAGACAGAAGGATATTGGCAGAGGCTATGATGATATTTTGTGGATCCCTTCCACGCATGGTAGGTATGGAGTTAGATCCATGTTCTTGTGTTTGTCTAATTTTGCAGGCCATGATTTCCCATGGAAGTCCATTTGGCACTCTAAAGCTCTTCTTAGAGTCGCATTCTTCGTTTGGACTGCTACTTGGGGAAAGATTTTGACATTGGATAATTTACAAAAAAAGAGGCAATACCATTATTAACTGGTGTTGCCTATGTAAGTCAAACGGGGAGTCCGTGGACCTCATTTTTATGCATTGTCCTATGACGTATGATTGTTGGAATCTCATTTTTAGTATTTTTTGAGTTTAGTGGGTAATGCCTAAGCATTCTATTCAATTAATTAGCGCATGGAGAGGATGCCCTGTTAAAGGTCAAGCACGTGATTTTTAGAAGATTGTCCCACATTGTGTTTGGTGGTGTATTTAGAGAGAGAGAGAAATAACAGAAACTTTGAAGGGAAGGAATCATCTCTAGCAAATTTAAAATCTAATATTCTTCATTCTCTTTTCTGTTGTGTAAGAGGCAGCGTTTGCTCCTCGGTCGATGATTTATATGATCTATTGGACTATGTTGGTCCGTAGGTTTTTTGTTGTCGTGTATTAGGGACGTGTTTCCCTTTTGAACGCTTTTCTAATATATTCTACCTATCAAAAAAAAAAAAAATTTATCTGAAAAATAATCTGAAAATAGTCTAAAATTTTTCATTCTCCCAATACTTATAAATGAAAACAATAAATAAAATGATTTTTTTTTTTGGAAATAATAACAATAAATAAATAAAACTCTATGACCCCATTCACTTGGAAAAAAGTTAAGATATTCAGAGAGACAAATTCATGTAGAAACAAAAACTAAAATATTTGGAAGGTAATTGGAGAGGACGAAATATCGAAAATTAAGTAATTTATCCCAATTGATAAAAAAAAAATTGGTTAGATCAAAAAGGTTTTTAGATACTTGAAACCATGTATACCAAAAGTACATTATGAAACAGTTAAGACCAATTTTTTTTGTTAGATTGTAAAATATATTTTTTTACGCAAATATTTTATTACAATCAAACATCTAAAAATAAAAATATATATATATATTTTAAAAAATAGTTTACTTCTAAACAAACGAGCCTAAACCAAATTTATTTTCCAACATGCCGCATGCCAAGTCTAGGTTTGATTAGCCTTCTAAGAGCATCTATAATGGTAAAAGTCATTTTCGCATGCCAAATCTATATTTTGACAAGTGCTACCATGTCAAAATGCTACATTTTAGCAATTCTGCTCCAATGGTGCATTTAATGCAAAATGTTATTTTTTGACACAACTACCATTCTTTTTCAACTACCATTCCCACCATTCATATTTGCATCAGTAATATTAATATTAGGTACATTCCAAGTAAAGTTGTAGATATTAGAGGGAAACTAAAATTAAACCTAATTAAAAAGAAGCAAAAGTCTAAAATATTTGGTCAAAAAAGGAACCAAAAAAAAACCACAAAAACAAATTTTTTATAATACTTTTTACCACTATTTGTGAATTAATTTTTTTACATAATTTTATTTTTCTTTTTCGGAAATTTATATGTATATTATATATATTTGATTATATTATTATTAAAAATATATATATTTTTAGGGCAAATCATTTCTACCTCCCCAATCGCCTCCATCTCTATTCTCGTTCTTAACTCTAAGAACTTGCTCTCTCTCTCTCTCTCTCTAGCTCTGTGCAACTGCAAACTACAAAATCTACAAGAATCAGAAGTTCAAAACCCATATATTTCAATTTATCTATCTATCTGCAAGAATCCAAAGTTGAAAACCTATTACCTATATCAAAACCCATATTGGCGTATCATTTTAGATTGTTCAAAATATCAAAACCCATATCTTTCAGTTTCCATCACCCGCTGTTCCAATTCTGGTTCAACGTTCGCAAGCTTCAGCCGTTGTCTCTCAACTTAGTCCACCAAGAAACATCAAGAAAGAAATTCACTATCTTCGTCGGAAGAATCTCAGGATAGAACGAGATATAGCAAGAATAATATTATCTTCGTCGGAAGAAAGAAGTTCCGGAATTGGAAGCTTTTGCTCTGAAATGGACGAAGGAAGAGAGTGATTGAGGGCAAAGAAGTAGAAGTGAGAGAAGAAGAAAGAGTGGAGAAGCAGAGGACACCGGTTTCTGCCATTGAAGAGAGAGATTTTGGCAAAGAGAGAGAGAGAGAGCAACAAAAAAGGCAAATAGCTATTGCTATTTGTTTTGTTAGATTTGGCACAAAAAATAGCAAAGGCAAATTTTGACAGGAGATATAGCAGCCCATTGGAAAGCTCAATTTTTTCACTCCTGCTATATTTTGAATTGGCATCCCATATAACAGGTGGGCTAGAGATGCTCGATCTAAAGCATTGTATGTTCTATTAGTTTTCTTTTCTTTGCTGGATTATAATATTATTGTTCCTTCTGTTAGCCTTCTAGCAAACTTTGATTAATTGTAACATTCTTTTTAACTATTAAAGCCCTACTTACCTTAATTTTAAATAATAAATTAAACATATACAGCAAGCCAAGACAATCTGAAAGGAATGGAGTTATGAAGGTCCTAAATAGCCATAAAACAATCATTGGAGAGGTTCAAACCAGGTACACTAAGAAACATAATAAAATAAATTGAAGTCCCAATATATACCAAGGCTAACCAAAAACATTTCTATGATGTCCTGTTCTATTAAGACCATAAATCAATTAAACTAAAGACTAAATATTTCAAAAAAAGTAAATCCATATCAACAGTAGTCAATATTGCCAAACTAGCTACAATTAAAAATAAATGGAACCAAGAAGAAGCCCAGAAAAAAAGATAAAATCTCAACGAAAATGCATATATATATAACCATAATGCCTTGTGACGATGAGATTAAACTTACCTCAAAAAAGTAACAAAAACACAAAACGGGTTTGCTTATCCGGTGGCCCTACAACTTGTCGGGGGCAACCCAAACGGGAACCCAAGCCGGCTGGTGTTCCTCCGGTACTGTAATCGACCGTAGTTTACTGCTTTTAAAAGTGAGTGGACAGTAAGGTGTGATGCTTTTATCTTTCAAGTGAAAAATGCCACTATCGTGACTGACATGGTCGCAATCTTGATAATTGACAGTGAAGTATATGGAATTCTCCCTCAGCTCTGGATAGTCACTAGTTGAGAGAGAAAATGAGTGATTACGACCAACAAACAATGCCCTATCACTGATGCAGTCCACACGCTCCCACTTATTTTGATCAAAATTCAGCTTATAAACATCAAAATTCACTGACGGATAAAATGGTGGGATGTAATCTTCATTAACCCAATCCTTTTCTTCAAGGTCATCATCTTCATCCACTTCATCACCAATTTCAATATCACTAAACCTGACAACGAACAAAAGATCCCCTGAGGATTCCACAAGAAAAGTTAAGCATCTCCAAAATATATTAGATCTCATAAATTCTTTTGTTGTGTCCAGGTCCATAGGGCAGGAAGAAGGCTCGATGATTTCACGTTTGGGACAAGAAGGATCGGTCAGGTCAAAAGCTTTAATACATCCTGGATAATACAAGTTGTTAACACCTAAAATATAATTCGAAGCAATCATGCCACGTGGTCAGAAATCATGAAGTCTGAACTTTGGGCCGACCCATGGTCATCAGGGCGAGAGATTAATTTCTAATCATGGCGATCCGATTTAAGGCTGAGAATGAAGAAGAGTGGAATTTTTAGGCCATTAAGACTGATATGAGGTTTTGAGCTCATAACTGGCCATGATTGAGAGTCTCAGTCACTATGGTTATGACTCCCAGTCTCAATGGTCATGATCATGAGTCTTAGGCCAAAACCTTCTCAGTCATCTTGGTCATGAGAGTCTCAGTCTCATGGTCGTAAGTTTTAGGCCAAAATCTTCTCAGTCACTATGGTTATGACTCCCAGTCTCAATGGTTATGATCATGAGTTTTAGGCCAAAATCTTCTCAGTCACTATGACTATGACTCCCAGTCTCAATGGTCATGATCATGAGTCTTAGGCCAAAACCTTCTCAGTCATCCTGGTCATGAGAGTCTCAGTCATCATGATCATGAGTCTTAGGCCAAAACCTTCTCAGTCATCCTGGTCATGAGAGTCTCAGTCTCATGGTCGTAAGTTTTAGGCCAAAATCTTCTCAGTCACTATGGTTATGACTCCCAGTCTCAATGGTCATGATCATGAGTCTTAGTCCAAAACCTTCTCAGTCATCCTGGTCATGAGAGTCTCAGTCATCATGATCATGAGTCTTAGGCCAAAACCTTCTCAGTCACTATGGTCATGATCATGAGTTTTAGGCCAAAACCCTTCTCGATCACTATGGTTATGACTCCAAGTCTCAATGGTCATGATTATAAGTTTTAGGCCAAAATACTCTCAGTCACAACTTTCTCAATCACAACAGTCATGGTCAAGAGACCCTCAGTCATAATGGTCATGATTATGAATCTTAACCAAGATTTCTAGTCACTATGGCCATGATCAAGACTTATGACCAAATATGGTCATGATCAGGGGTCTCGGGTCATAATCACTTGAGGAATCTTTGGGGTAATTCAAATAAAGACCGATTGTGAATCCCAATGTTTCAAGAACCCAACAAGTCAGGTCTAGAAGTTTGAGGAAAGCTTGAAATAGAAAAGGACAACTTGATAATGTCAGAAGTTCAGAACTACAGATGGAAGGTTCTCACCAACATCTGATGAGGAAAGTCAGGATTGTCAGTAATCAGATGACTCCAGGCTAATGTACAAATCAAGCCAGACATGACAGGTGCAGAGAGCTGAAAATGGCTTAAAGACCAAAATCATCAAGCATGAAAGAATAGGCACCATTTAGTCAAAAATACTATGTCAGACAACTTGTATCTGCCTATAGAGGGATGTGCAAGTTAGTCAACCTTTCCAGCTGGTGGTTAGGAAAAGTCACTTTTAGCTTACAACCAATCAATTTCTAGAGAAACGGTTGAAAAGGACAACACCAGGTGGAAGCCTCTATAAATACCCACTCAAGCATCACAAGGAAGAGGTCCAAGACCATTTCTAAAGTTCAACCTTTAACATTCCTATCATTTAGCACTTAGCTTTTATTTTATCAAGCTCAGTTTAGCACTTAGCTTTTATTTCAGCAAGTTTAGCTTAACACTATCAGTTTAGTACTTAGTTCATCTTCCAGCATTTAATACTTTAGTTTCCATTTCAATCAAGAGTTTGTAATTCATTCATCATTGTAATCAGTCAAGTTCAATGAAGAAAGGTTTGCAGATTCAGGTATATTTATTGTCCAGTTAAGTTGCTTCTAATTCATGTTTATCTTGAGTGTTTAAAGTCCTTTCTTAAAGGCAATAGCAACCTTAAGGAGAGGGTCATTCCTACTCTCCAACTTTCGCCTGAATCACCTTAGGTCGGTGACCCGACCCGATAGGAATAGTTTGGCAAGAAATATTCGAGTCCATCAGGACTCTGGCACACCCGCGTTCTAGGTCAGCCGTTTATTGGCTAGCGACCTCAGACCACTTTGTGAGCCAAACAACTTTGGCACGCCCGGTGGGACTTGTGTTTTATTTATGAATGGTCGTCGAGACTAGGTCACAGACTTAGACTTTAGCTGGACAAGCTAACCCTCAAAGGGAAGATCAGGAAGAAAATCAGCCTGCTCCCATCATATAAGATTCCAGGTCTGAGCATGAAGAGGGACATCAGGCCAGCCACCAAATGGCGGCCGAAAGTGTCAGCAATATGGTGACACGATTTGAAAGTAGAGTGGAGGCTTCCCAATGCCAAGTCGCTTGGGAAATCAACAAAAATATGGAGCCATTGGTGGCTTCATCCCACATGACTAATACTCAGCTCTAACAGCTGAATGAGGTGATTAATGCCCTAGTGACTCGTATTAATAGGCAGGTTATTGCTCAGCCGCCTAGGTTAGAAAACCAGAATGATAGACCCGTGGACCAGTTTCTTCCTCAACAAGTTGGTCAACCAGAAAGAGGTGCCCAGCCACATCCCATGGTTAATGGTCCTCGACCAGTAGCTCCAATTCCACCACAAGTCCATCCAGTAGAGCAAGGAGTGAATGGTCACCAACAACCAAGATGGAGGAATCATGACCAACCTAATGGTCGACCTCCTCATTTTCAACCTCAAGTCTTGCCACCTCAGGTTGCGAACCCAGGGGGGCAAGAGGGACATAACCCTTGGCCCAATGTCCCTTTTCAGAACCAAGTCCCACCTATGGTCATGACTAGGGAGCAATTGGCTGAGGTCATACAAGAACAGTATGGACCAGCTTTAAAAAAGGCTACTCGACTTACTTTTAGGCACCCATTTCCTGACTGGATAGATCAGATGGATCTTCCCCAAAATTTTCGGGTGCCAAACTTTGCAACTTTCTCAGGAGAAGGCAACCAATTGACTCTTGAGCACATTGGCCGTTTCACATTAAAATATGGGCCACTCAGCAACAACGATTGGTATAAAATGAAGCTATTCTCTAACACCCTCACTGAGACTGCCTTCAAGTGGTATCTAAACTTGCCACCAAATTCCATCCACACTTGGCAACAGATGCAGGATGTGTTCCATGATCAGTTCTATAGGACAGAACCAGATGTCTCTATGTCCGACCTATCTAGGATCCATCAGTTGCCAAATGATGATGTTGAGACATTTTTGGCTAGGTTTAAGAAGGCACGAAATAGGTGCCAACTTACTTTGCCTGAAGAAGAGTTTGTCAACTTGGCCCTTAGCGGTTTAGACTTTGAATTATGAAAGAAGTTCGAGGGTACTCATTTTGGAGATTTGTTCCAATTAGCCGATAGGGTTACCAAGTATGAAAAAATCTTACGAGAGGAAAACGAGAGGAAAAACTCCTCTCGGGGGACCTATTATAAGGGCCCTAATTATGAAATACACATGGTTGATACAGTATATGATGACCTAGAGGTCGATGCTGTTGAAATTATTTCAAAAAAACCATATGTATGTAAAGCTTTAACTAAGCCCTTAGAGACTGTTAGCGGTGTTCAACCCTCATCATCTTCAGCCAAAAGGAATATCTTTGAGGCTGGCAAACAATATGCTTTCGATATAAGTAAAGCAGAGCAAATCTTTGACCACCTGTTGTCTGATAAAATTATCAAAGTCATTGGGGTACATAAAATACCTTCAGCTGATGAAATCAAGGGTCGAGAGTATTGCAAATATCATAACTCCTGGAATCATGCAACTAATAATTGTGTTGTCTTTCGTAATGTGATTCAGGCACAGATCGAGAAGGGGGCATGGAAGTTCCCGGAGATGAAGAAAGAGGTGATGAGCGTTGACAGTGATCCATTCCCAGCCTTGGTCAGCAGTAACATGGTCGAAATCTCAATGGCCAACAGGCCACGGAGAAGAATTGATTTTGAGGATACTTCAGCTAACAGAGAAAGCAAGGCTGAAGGAAAGAAGCCAATGGTTAAGGAAACTCCAAGGTCTAAGGATGACTTAGAAAATGAGTTGCGGGAGGCTCAACTGGAGCTGATCAAGCAAGGATTATGCCCTAAATGTAAGACAGACATTGGAAGGGACCGAGAGAGGTTCCACAGCGACACTCGGGGACGTCTTGGAAGTTCACGTCATGAAAACAGACCTAGGTCACCCTCGTCTAGGGTGCCTGTGACAAGTCGATTAACATGGCCTGATAGAAGGTCTAATACCAATGAGCATCACAAGCGAATGCGAGAAGTGAACCCCAACAATCGGTCAAGGAAACTTACTCATGCTGTCTGGAAGCCTAGAGAGTATAACTCAAATGTGGCTCGCCAAGCTGAGACATCAGTTGACCACCCAAACCACAGGCAAAGGATGGTCAAGCCACCAGTCACTGACGATGGTCAATGGTCAAGGGTGAGTCATCCAAAGTTCTCTAGGGTCAGGGATATCCCGCCAGCATTCATGACTCGCACTCAAGTAAGACGGTGGCAGCGGATGAAAACTGAGTTAAAGAGAATGGAAGAAAAATATTCAGCTCCACAGCCAGATAAGGTGACTTTGCTTAGGAGAGAACCTATCAAGCAAGATTCAAAAAGTGATCCGAAAGGAAAATCCAAGGAAGATAGTGCAGACGGAAATGGATGCACTGAAGAGAAATGTGCATCTTCTTCAATGAAAGAAGCTGAGGATGAAGCAGGATTTGGTGATGATGAACTCGACCTGGATGAGCAAGATGATGGTTTAAAGAGTATCAAATTTGGTTCATTTAAAGGAATTCTGAATTGCAATATGGTTCTTACCTTGCCTCATATTTTTGAGGCTAAACCTGATCAACCCTCCACTATGGAAGGAGACGTCGAGGTGATCGATGATGAAGGGCAGGAAGTTCCAGAGATTATTGAGAACCCATCTGAGTTGATCTCTGAAGATAAGAAACAGAAAGTCGTTGTGATAAGAGCTAAACCACGAGATAATGAGTTAGTGACCATTGGGAGAGATCAGGCGGCTAGGGTGATTTTTGAGAAGCCTTCTACGGCAATGTCTCAACACTTGAAACCACTCTATATCAGAGTGTTCCTAGAAGGGATGCCAGTGTCTCGGGCACTGATAGATAATGGATCTGCGGTTAATATCCTTCCGATGAACACCATGAGGTTGCTACAAAAAATGGAAGATGACTTGATTCCCACTGACTTGACAGTCAGTAATTTCACGGGGGGCAAAGCCAGGACCAGAGGGGTGGTCACCTTGGAAATGACAGTTGGAAAATGTAAGACCATGACTGCATTCTTCGTAGTCGACGCAGGGGCGGCTTACAACGCTTTGATTGGGCGTGATTGGTTACACCCATATTTCTGCATCCCTTCTACCCTCCACCAGTTTATGATTTTCTGGGATGGGGATGAAATCCAAGTCATATGGGGAGACAATAAGCCTTTCGAAGCTCGGGTCCATGTGGCTGATGCACTTTTGTATGAGGAAGAAATAGGTCCTGTGAGGCTCATTGGTTGTGACAAGTATGGCAAGCCTGAGAAGGCGACGATGAGGAAAAATCTGACAGACGGGGACTTATCCGATTTATTCAAGGAACTATTAAGGCCAAGTGTTATCTGCGAGCCAAGGCTGATAGTTGAAGTTGAAGAACAACAGGTTGTTAATGGACCAAGCCCAAAAGGAGAAGGAGAAAATGCTAGCATTTAAAGCTAGCATGGCACGGCTAAGAGCATATCTCGCCGAAAGACGGGCAATGTTGTGGAGTGATATGTCGGCCAATATGGCCGAAATCATAGAAGAAGGTGAGTCAGGGGATTGTCGAGATGTTATTCAGCTAGAAGAGCTAGATGCAGCTCCAGCTAAGCTAGAGGATCTGAAAGCCGATGTTCAGGATCCCTTGTTGGAGATCAATTTGGGAGCAGAAGAATAGCCTCGGCCAACCTACATAAGTGATCTTCTAGAACCTGACT